CAACGATCATGGGCTGCAAATGTTACTCGGTACAACTATTGCATCAAGTTTAAATAGACTGACAAGATCGGTCAGTTGGATGCATTTTCAAGACTTTTAGAAAATAGACCACCGGACTCGGAAGACTGAGTTATACCCCAGATCATAGCTGAACCGGAAATACGATGTACACTGATGGAAGCCATCAAAGGTACTCCGATCACATTCGCACTGATGAGCGGAGCAACCATACAGGATTCGCTGCTGAGTCAAGTAAAGTAGTACCACCTCTCCAAGTGGCCACAAAGCGGTAAAAACAAAGACTTGCTTCAGTTTTATCAGAGATGATCGTCAATTTCCGTTGTCGATGATTGCTTATCGTTCGCAGAACACGTTGTCGTACCAGAGGATCTGAAAAGAGGGTCTGTTTTGCAACAGTTTCATAAAGGACATCCCGAGATCAACCGGATGAAATCATTGATCCGAAGCTATGTTTATTGGCCTCATATTGACAGCCAAGACGCAACGCTCGTCAGATCTTTGTGTGTTGGCCTCAAAGTCCCCTAGAAAATGTGAACTTCGTTCTTGGCCGGTACCACAAAATGCATGATCAAGGATATATGTGGAATATGCAGGTCCCGTGAACGGACAAAGTTTCTCATTATCGTGAACACTTACAGCCAGAGATTTTTCCTATGGGGACAACAACGACAACGGCAACCATTAACACAGTGCAAGAAGTCTTCGGTCGTTCGGTTATCCTGAAAAGTTCGTATCTGACACAGTTCATGCGGTCCCAATTCGCGGACTTCTGTCTTGCCAATGGGACTGAACATGTTAGGACACTTCCATATCACCCACAATCAAACAGCATAGCAGAACGACTTGTGTGTACTTTCAAAGGAGCTTTGCGGAAGGGGAAGGAACCAAAGTAAACATCCTACACTACTGGGTAAGTGGTCATTTCCAAAACGCACATCATATTTGAAGTGTAATCCAGCCGTCTGCCCTTCGAATCCTGTTTTTTTGAATTAGCCTTGTGGACGAGATTATAGCCGATTCAATTATAAACCTGTAAATCAGCATATCACGGCCGGTAGTATGCAAAACCCCGGTGATATTGATGGATCAGACCGAACACTAGCGGCTTTGGATTGACATTTCTGAGTGAACCTATGGACTATTCTCTGAGAGCAACCCGATAGCTCGTAGCTGACAGTCGTAGTCTCGAAAAATTAAGCAGTCTAGTGGTAACAGGAGGCTTGGGAATTTTTCGATGATAATTTCTTAGAGTAAGTGAAACCAGTCCCACTTGTATGACCGAGGAGCACTGTATAGCTTTTTCATCCTTATTGGGATCACAAACAGCGCACATCTCACAAAACTTCAGTCTGTTCGACCTACAAGCCGGGAGGTTGTGGAGTTTCGTGCACACTATTGCAGATCTCCAAGAAAAAAGAATGATGAAACAGCTTTGCAGCGCTATTGTGATTGAACAGTGTGAAGTCGTTCAGTCTCACAGTGAAAGTAATACCATATGTTATAACCAGTGTTATGATAAAAATTTTCATCTGATGGTGTATCTTCCTGTTTTTAAGCAAGAACGTCTCATCCTACTAGTCCAGAGCCCATGACAGTTGTCCGGAGCGCAAATCTAGGCGATGTGGACTATCAAAAGCCCGCTCCACAAGTCGATAGTCTTGAAAATTCAAGGTTAAAAAATTGTGCATATGCGTATATATTTGTCTTCTTGTTCGTTCACAGGCCCTCACACTCATTTGGTACCTTCTAAGTCCCCTGGATGTCATCAGGACCCCAATGTTTCCTAAGATTGACCGAAACCCAAAACCGTATGCAATTCACCTTGTTCATGTGATCAAAGGATACACTGGCTCGATCTATTACGTTGTTGAAGAGTGTGTTATACTACCGGGGAAGTCTCAGATCTAAGAGGCCGGAATGTTATCTTCGACGCATCCCGTCACCACATCTGTGTGCCAAACAACGTGTGATAGAGCGAATAGCTATTCACTTACATCTCGTAGTTGAACAAAGACTTTTGTCCGCGGCATATTCCTACGTCAGCCAATGGAGGGTAGCTCAGTTCAACTGGACCGTTTACGAGTTGGATCCTTACTTGGTAAGTGACCTGAACGAATTTCGAACAACGAACATGGCGCCGACTCTGACTTGACTCAGATGTCCGGTTGCCAAAATTAAGTTCCTGGACAGCTGTGGAACTGGTCGTGGGCTGTCGGCGGCTTTTCAGCAACCTTATGAGTAGTGCATCACCAAAGTGTAGCGACTGAAACATGAGGCGGCCTGGTGCAGCACATTCAGTTGCCTGAAAACATCACAAACGAGAGGTTCAACTGGGTTCCAGGTGAGTCTCTCGAAAAACCAAATTAGTTTGCAAATGAGTGTATGTTCGCTAATTTCGTGCAATTTGGTTTCAAGTAGAACATACAGTTGACGGAAACCCCGGGGACTGCGCCAACCTGATGAGTCCCAAGAAGGGCGAAACCGGTCGTGGGCTGTCGACGGATTTTCAGCAACCTTATGAGTAGTGCATCACAAAGTGGATGATTCTTTAGGGTAAGCTGAAGTTCAGTGACTCTTACCATTCGGCGCAGGAAGCTCATTTACAGATTGCACTGAAATTGCAGAGAACTCACAGATAGCTCTGGCCTTTATCACATGCTTCGATTGAATCTACAAAAACTTAATTTTCAGATGAATGTATCTCGCCACTTACATACAGTTAGGTTCAATCGAAACACAATGTTGATGTTAAACTACGGAGTGGTCTGATGAGCCCTAATTTGGGCCAAACGGGCAGTGGGTTGTTTGAGAGTTTTCTTAGCAGATATGTAGGAAATGCAATGTCATATAATCTAGAAGAATTGGTATACTCTCCGACATAACGTTTGCTGTATATTTGGGGTGATTGTTCGTGAAGTCACTGTTTTAAAATTTCGGCATTCTCAAGAGTCATATAATGCGCCGAAGCTTTACTCAAGCTCGAATCCATCACTTTGTTGTCCAAACGGGGCAGCATAAAGTTTCAGTGGAGACAGCTGTCAGAAACTTACTACTATATTGATCTGACTTATTTATCAGCCAACCTTGTGCTTTTGATGACAGCATCAAAATAAAATAACATATCCTTTATCTTCTGAAGGAGATTCTACCCGATCAATGTGGGTATAAATTTTCCTTGCACAGAGACGCTCTCATAAGACTGCTCCACTAGTGAAAACCAAATCGGTATGCGAATGAGTGTATTTCGCTAAACTACACACTTCATGTGCGAAGTGGAAATAGCTCTTTGATGTCCACGATGGGTATATTGATAGTTTTGTCACTAAACTTAAAAAAAGTCACACAAAACTTCTATGGCTTCGACGAGGGGAACATTATTAACCAGGGGCTCAGCATCGAGAGGGAACATGTGATGGTTATCGACCGTCAACTTTTTGAGGTGGTTAACGATCCTGTGAGGTAGACCAGGTTTGTGAACTTTTTGGATGTATTCACACCCCTGAAACAACCCGGGTGTGCTAATGGGACTGTAAAGCACCCTAGGCACACGGCCAAAAGCAGTGTGACAGTCCACTTGGCTCGGCATTTCAGCGTCTTCCTAACCCAGAGGGTTGAATTTTCGAACGAGTTGATTCTATTTTAGTCCCAGTCAATGCTGCTACAATAGTCCAACGTCATTCGCTGAGCTACTTGCGGCATACCATTGACGACATACCGTTTGGCCCGTCTGTCGACCGAGCTCAGAGTACCATGCGTAGGGGCACTGTGGAGCGATATAAAAGCCACAGCTCAACACCTATCGGGTGGAAGTTACTGACTGACGATAGTTTCGCATTTTTTGTTTCGTAGAAGCCGAACGAATGCGATCGACCTTATTACCCATGCGACTACTTATTGATATAGCCGTTAAAATGCATCGAGGGTTGTAAATGGCATATTTTTGCTAGATAAAGTGTGCGACTCTCAAATGGCACACAGTTCGTTGCTCCAAAACATGCAACTGACGAAGACATCCTTATCTTTGAATAAAAAAGTTGAATCGGTTTGGGAAAGTGATTAAGCATCTTGCAATATTACCTGTCCGTCTGTTTTATTTGTTCTGTTCAACTGGAGCCAATGCCGATGGATCATCACAAAGGATCTGATTCTTCCACACACACAAAAAAAATCACTCAGAGTGAATTTTGACCTCTTCTTGGATGTTAATTTCTCCGAAGTGTGTAAAGGATATGCCCATTCCTAATGTTCTCACTCAGTGCAAATACGTTTCTGAAATCCGTCAATTCCAGCCCGCGTTTGAATGACCTACTTAGTAGCCATTACCTCCCACTCCTTTTGGTGTCATTCCCGGGAACCACTCTATTGTGAAATATCTGGGTACCACCATACCAAGCAAACTCTTGATTCTATTCGTGTCAAAGTAGTCTTAGGGATTGGTCGATGCCTAGATGTGATATTCTATGAGTCCTAGAACGAATTATGTGGTTGAATCCCTTGACCTTTTCTGCAGTTCCCCTTGAAATTTTACTAGCATATCGCTTATCCGATGGGCCCTGAGAAAGGCGAAACCGGTCGCGGGCTGTTGAATTGCTTTCAACAACCTTATGAGTAGTGTATTACGTTGTTAAAATGTATCGTGATAGATAGAATATGATGCCAACTGAAACATGAGGTGACCTGGTGTGGCAGATTCAGTGACTCGAAAGCATCATAAACGAAGAATTTCGCTGAGTTGCAGGTCGCTCTCCTGTCAAAACCCAATCTGTATGCAAATGAGCGTGTTTTGCTATTTTCTTGCAATTTTGATTGAAGTAGAACATGAGGTTTACGGAAACTCGGGGACTGCGCCCACCTGATGAGCCCTAATAGGGGTGAAACCGGTCGAGGGCTGTCAAAGAACCTTCAGCAAACCTCTAAGCAGCGTATTAATCTTCAGCTTCCTTATTCGCTGCTTTTGTTAACATGTTATTCCTTTCTTGGTTCAGTTTCTGGTGATTCCCGCTGCCCACCTCGCTTACATTTGCGATGCGTTGATCAGGGCGATATTTCCCAAGTGTATCGGAGTACTTTACCAGGTGTGTGCAAAATCTGTGCTGAAAACCCACTTTCGAGTACATTCGTCATGAATCTACCTGCTTTCGCAACTGTCCCGGGCGTTTCTTGAAAATAGGATTCCGCCATTTTAAAGAAACTTGAAAGTCTATCGCGACAAACCAGAATGCAACCTTGGTCCGAGAAAACGAAGAAGAACAAGATTAGAGTAGTAGGTGCCATTTTGACTGGATTACGTAGAGGAATTAGTGTTTTGGAATATGTACAATCTCAAAATAGTCGCAGCGGCTGAACCTATCGATGAAGGCTATGAACCTACGGGATTTTATGCTATGGTCACTCCGTATTCGTCGAATTCCTAGGACAGAACACATGCTCTGGTTCCAGAAATGACGAAGTTACTGATCTTGGAAGGGAATGCCACACCGGCAACGCTTTCTGCGATTTGCTTGGGTATCCAAGTGGAATGGTACGTACAATCGACCAAGTCACTCACATTTCCCATGTCATTCGACCACGCTACCGGCTTTTGTGGATGTCACTCCATCCAGGTTATCAAGAGTATGGAAAAGAAGCATTTCCTGTTGGAAAATGTGACTGTTACACAATAAGATAAGTATCAGGAAGGTCAGATTCCTGAAAGCAACTTCAGAACGCCCGGAACCTACTGCTCCACCAAAAACTCAACTGGAAAGCCGGCAAGCATCCAGGCCAGTCAATTATTCAATCAGTTCAGCAAAACCTGATGAGTGTTCTTGCGCGCCACAGAAGCACGACCGAATGTGATCAGCGTTCAGGCTTTTCACGGAGGCACGATCGATGTTGATGGGTGTTCACTAACGCCTATCAGACAGCCTGGATCAATGTCAGAAAGTCCCCTTTAAATAGCGTGGGGCCGTTGTAACTTTTGCACTCTCACTCCATCGCTTGTTCGGAATACAGCTGTTGTGTTCCTTTCTGTGAGTCGTTTCTCTCCGACACTAGGCATTGGAGCGGGTCAGCAGCAGATACCACAGATTGACGAATCAGCAGATATAACAATAAGGCAACACAACTTCACATCATTTCCACAGCTCCGACGAATTACCGCCTGGCCGTGATGCCAGATTGTAACTCCATGTTACCGCTACGAGGACAAGCATCCAGACACATCCTGCTGATGTACCGCTGAGTCTTCCTTCTGCATACTCAGGCATATTGAATGTCTGAAAATACACTACGGTTGAAGTGACGATTGTCATTACATCCGGGAGTCTGATGCCGGAACTTCTATTGACCGAGTGCATAGGATGTACGACACTTCATATTTCTCTCATCTTTGGATGTCCAGAAAGTAGCCTAGTACCCTAAGCAGATAATTTCTTGTGGGGACATGTCGTATTTGCAAACTGACAGAAATTATTCAATAGAACTTTCATCCTGTAATTGAGGCCAATCTATGCTGAAATGCCGAGAAGCACTATGAAGCTGTTTCATTCGTGTTTCGACTCACCAGCAGTATGCACCTCACGAACTCACAAACCCCTTACCAGCGGTTAAACAATTAACAGTTTGGCAACGAGTAGTTGATCAGCAGTGCGACTAGATCTCAGACGGATCATGGCGCCACTACTCTCTCAATCACATAAAAAATATCACGTGGCCACGTATTGAGTTGCTCCTCGAGTGACCACTGTTTGGAAAGAAATGACCCTTCTTCTGAACTGCTTATTGGTTCGTGATGATATGTAGAGACTTGGTGATATTCAATACCATGTGTACCTTAAAGGTTCCCACCAATCTCGCACCAACGCGGCTTCCTACTGAAAGCGCGTTCTTCATTGGTAGCCGGTCTCCCGTTATTCTCCTTATGTTAACTTTTCTGTGGGTGGCTACTAATGAGGAATTCGTGAGTAATGGATGCTTCTTAGGGAAGTAGCCGCGAAGTTCATGCGGACGGTCGATAAGTAAACATGAAATACTCACCAGGTGTTATCCTGTGAGTCGCTTGAGCTAATCTAACCCTGAGACTGTGGTAGATGAAGGTAAATTAGGCACGAATAGAAATTCCGATTCACTGAACTCTCGTTAAAGGCGTCTCAGTGGCCCCAATGAGTAAATTCAAATCAGGTCTCAGTAAACATATGTTTGGGTTTGGGGTCTCCTAACTACAGCCGGGAAGCCGAATCCAACTCGGTGGTTTTCTTTATCTAACCTATTTTTAGTTTGTTCCGGAGCTCTGAATATCAGAACTGACGACCAGCAAAGTCGATCGATTGGAAGCCATTGAGCGATATGTGATGTGTACAGAATGATAAAGGCAATCGGGGACAAATCTAGCTACCTGGAACCACGACCAGTTTACTGCCTTCGGTAACTGTAGGATAAAATAGCCAAATATCGTAAGAGTTCGTTTCCACGCAATAAAAAATTGAGTAACCGGAGCGAATTCAAGACGAGTTTACGGGCTGATTCAGAATCCACTTGTATATAGATCACCTACAACTAGAATTTACCAATGTAATGTACTACTCATAAGGTTGCCCACGACCGGTTTCGCCCCTCTTGGGACTCATCAGGTTGGCGCAGTCCCCGGGTTTCCGTCAACCTTATGTTCTACTTGAAACAAAATAGCACGGAATCAGCGAATATACACTCATTTGCAAACTAATTTGGTTTTTCGAGAGACTCACCTGGAACCCAGCTGAACCTCTCGTTTGTGATGTTTTCAGGCAACTGAATGTGCTTCACCAGGCCGAACTTCCAACCGAACACGAGGCAGGGATGTTTTCCGAATTCTACTGATTTTGTAGAACGAAGCTGCTTGTCTCCCTAACCGACTGTTCTTGTTTTTCTGAGTTGCCTTTCACTTCAACGTTTTGTAACGTTGGAAACATGAACTCTATTTTTCACCTGGCTCGCCTCGTCGCATGAGTAAACACGGTTAGAAACTCCCAAATCAAACTGTAGTTACCAGAGCCAGCGTGCTTGTCTTTTTTCAGCCTCGAGTTAAATGGATCTCGAATAAGCACCGTTCAGGGGTGGCTGCTCTTTCAAAGATGCTCATCCCCGATGTGCTCCCCACAAACGTGACCAAGGTAAGTACGCAGGATCGATGTCAAAGGAAAGTTGTCTGTTTTTTAATCTATTCAGCTTTCGCTGACCATTTTTAGCTAATAACGATGCTGTGATCAGGGACATCTGAGATGAACACAGAGTATACTCCAAAGTCATTCGAATTCCGGAGTTTGGAGACCAAAACTGAATAGCTGAACAAAAATATAGTCATTCTGAAAGTTGAACCTCGTAGGATGAACAGTGAGCTATCGTGTTGGGAACTATCCAGTAGGAACACGATAAACGAGAGATTTAGCTGGATTGCAAGTGAGCCTCTCGTCAAAACCAAATTGGCATGCAAGTGGGTGTACTTTGCTAACTATCTTTGGACTTTTTGCGATAAAAACTACCGCAATGTGATAGGTCCATGTGATCATGTGATGTGGAGTGCGTGACCGAAGGATGAATGGCGTTGCATCCTATTTAAGTACCAGCCACTCATGGTGCTGATCAAGTCTTAGTGACCGAACGGTCAGTTGTCCGACTTGCAGCCGGAAGGGGCCGGTTCGAAAATTCCGGAATTTCAAGAGCTGTGTACCGCTGTTGGTTACCAATAAGGACGCCACTGGTGTACAGTGGCTTTTCGGTTCTAGACTTCTGGGCATAGATTTGTTTCACTTGCGGGACGAAAACCCGGTTGATCCGTGAGATATTCAGCAGTTCAGTGACCAGTTGGAACCAGCATCTTGTGCTGCTTAAATCGCACACAATCCAGTTAGACGAATATGAACATACAAACAACACCATGTATGCGGAGGTTAGTTTCCGAATACCTCTTTCTTTCGCTAAGGCATACATCGATCAGATAAAACCGCTCGAGATAGCAAGCTAACTTCTACCCAGTAGATGACTAACATCAATGATCAGGGCAAGAAAAACGGAATTGAATTTTTGGAATCAGATGAGGCTCGTAAGCGATCCTTTTGGTGAGCAAGCCTTGATGTTTAGGGGACTCATCGATGACTGTATATTTACACTTAACAATGTGGGCGATGACCGATTCTACGAAAGAACGAAACTTCGTTCCTACAAACGTTAGTCTGTCTCCATTTTACTAGTGGACTGAACGCAGTTGAAAAGTCAGTAAGGTGTCTGTCAGGTTCAAGAGCTTCGTATAAAGCAGAAGTGTTTACGCGGGATCGATATCTTATGTGACACACAAAAATTATGTGCTCAGATAGGCGTTTTAGTACCTGCATATTCGTTTGACCGATAAAACTACCAGCACAGGAGCAGGTGAACTGCTCGATACACAATGAACTTGTCTTACGAAATTGTTTGCCTTTTATATGATGCGTGATAAAGAGATGAGTGGTGAAGCTGGCCTTAAAGTATATGAAGTACTATGAATGAGGTCGGTTTTAGTCCTCAAAACAGCACCGCTTGGCTCACATGACTATTAATTTGGTTTGTTCCACTAGAAAACATTCTGGATAGACATTTCTCCAGAGCGCAGTTTTCAGAAATAACACCTTTCCAGAAAAATAGTTAGTTTATCAAGTTTCCACCGTCCATTCCGTTTGAATTCGAGGAGGACAGGACCATGGATCGTGTGTGTTGATTTGTTGATGGCGGCTGGCGAAACACACGCTGTTTCATCAAAGTATGCCCTCAACAGAGAACAGCTCACCATCCTTCTCTGTTTCACTTGTTAAATACACACATGGATAAAACCCATTTATGCATAAAGAACACAGGCAGAATCGAAAGAAACTCACACACATTCAAGGCAGCATTAGGTCACCAGTCAAAACAGTCCACAGATTATCTTACATTGGAAGTCACCAGATTGAACATATTTGTGGGCCTGCGGGATGGCTAATCCACAAATCCGTTTGAAGTATTCCAGACATCCCACATCAAATGACACCGCTCAAACAGTCTCTCAAAAAATAACACCTTAGAGAAGCATTTGGCTTCTCAAATCTGAATGGTGTTGTCGGACATAGGAGCAAATTTATAGACTAGCGTTTATGCTTCACGAAATCTGCATCCTTCCCAACCAAGCTCAATGACTGATAAACTTTTTTTCCTGTGACCCTGTTTTCCGAAAGGCAATAGTCCTGGATACGGACATTCTCCTCAACGCGGATATTTTGGAACTATGGAAGTTGTTCGATAACTTCGATCAGCATCAGGTGAGCTGGACTCTGATGAAAACGGATCCTACTTTAACAACTATATAATGCAACTAAGGAAGTTCAGAAACAAAACAACACCAGGCTTTCCCGTTCCATTACATACATTTGCTGTGCACCACATTGCAATCTGAACATCTTCGGCGTTCTTTATCCATCTACTTCCATTCGTTTCAGATTTTTGGAATGGCATGGGAATTTGACTCAGTCGATGCCAAGTGCAATAAAATCCGAATCCCGGTGAGCTGGTTTTCTGACGTTTCGAGTACGGTGTGCCTTAAGAACTGTTAGATTAGGTGGTAATTCGTTCACAGTGCAAGATTATAAAGCGTCCCCTCTCTTTTGCCAAAGTAATGTCAATCTAAGGAGCTATAAATCGTCCACCCATTACTGCGACTATCCGTATTCCATCAGTTGTTATCAATGACCTAAATTTACATCGGCGTGATCATCACATAGGCCGAAGTTCGTCATCCAGGATCACCTAAATTACTGGTCAAGTGACGGACGAATCAAAGAGGTGAAGTGCACAAAATACATTCAGACACATCGTTCCCACTGTTCGTAACGCTGGTAACAGAGTTCTCAGCCTAAAGAAGTTGTATGACTCCATGACACAGTGGCTACTTTGGGAGACCCGCATAAGTTAGTTGCGTAGAGATTAACATCATTCGCGCTTTGTAGGATTACCGATGCAGGTACCCATTTAGATCAGTCATGCGTGTTCGTTAACTACTCACCCGTGCTGTGTGCTAATATGTTTAGTGTAGTAGGTGACCGTTACTCAGAACCTCAAAACCACTTCCAGATTTTTAGTGGGCTGTGCTGCACTCAAAGTACTTTCGCAAATCAAGTGCTCTTCTATTCAGGTCACAATAGAACAGTAGCCATGGGGTTGAGTTCACGAATTATGCAGTATATTCAGAGATGCCAGCAGTTTCCAGGATATATCGGGATTATTCCAATAGGTGAAGGTGTCTGTTGTAGTCCGACTACAAACGATGGCTGGTTCAAATCAGCTAACTCTGGAAAAGACACTGGCTTCAGGATTTCTTCGAACGTTCGTGAAATTCTGACCAGCGTAGTGGATTTTAGCATAGTGTGAACGCTTCTCAGACGATTATTTGATTGACGCAGCACTGACAAGTGCGAGTCCGTTAAGGTAATGATGGGAGAAGACCAGCATACCCAATGTCATATCACATAACACTGAAGTATACGAATGACTGCTCGTCAGCAAAGGCGGTGGTGACCGTGTCCCATGTGGAAGCCGGGATGACCGTGTCCCATGTGGGAACGTCCCTTCTCAATCGTATAGTCCAAAGCTCATCATAATCCTAACGAAGATATTTCGTCATACGATGCTCGAGTCGACAGCCGCTGTGAACTCATTCAGCCGACTAAACTACCCACTAATCGATTCGAGACTCATGTATTTACCTCTGGCATACTTCTACCAGGAGTAGCAAACATTCTCACCTGAATTCTTGCGAAGCATGAATTAACTGCAGAATTTACAATTCAGCGATCAATAAGCGAATTTCTACGGCAGCAAGGCATCAAACACGGATCAAACTTAACCAAGATTACAGGATAAAATGCCAAGCCCGCAAACGCCACATCTATTCAAGACTTCGTACTCCTTGAGAGTGAGTTCATCCGTGTGCAACAGATGTGGACCATGGTAACCTTATTGTTTTCGCACAGTGCGAATCCGTGCATGCCTAAACTGTTGGTCACGCTGAATTCATGTTTCCACTGCTTGCATCCAAAACCGGATGCTTTTGTCGACGATGAAATCTCGGTTTTTCTGTGTGCACGGTGATCTCCAAAAAATGACATCATTGTCCACCATTGGTCTGAAGTGGTCGAAAGCCGACTGGCTGGGCATCTGAAATCAAATTCACCGGCTGTGGTTTTCGTTGGTAACATACAGAATCTGTTAGTCAGATGGCCGCGTATGCGACCACCCCATCCCAAGCCAGCCTAACAAGACACAACGCGGTTTAACCTGTAACCTTGAATGTAAGAAGGCCTTCGCTGCGGAGTTATTTATTAGAAAATGCCAACTGACTATTTTACAGGGAAGCAACACTCTCATTTGCATCTTATTTACAAAAACTGAACATCCACCTTGCCCTGAACGCGTCTTCTTGAACTTCCCTGGATAATGGTTGATTCAAATAATCCATCGCTCAAATCTAAGCAAATGATACAAAGCGACTCTACACATTCCGCAACAGATCTCCCTTTTCAAGAGACGCAAAGCGAATTTCCAAGAACAACACATACTACTCGCAAGCCCCCATCAGTGGTATCACCGTTACACCCTTAGTATGCTTCTTAGATGCAGTTGTTTGTTGCCTCAGAGATCCGCTCGTACCCAACCCGGTTACTGCATTGAAGGGTTTCGGCTCCCCCGTCGCATCAGGCAATTCGTACTTTTAACTGACGGGCACTGAAACATACCAAAACACGTCGATCAAGCCGGTTGGTAGTTCCGACCCCGAATGCTGCGGGCTTTCTAATCGTGCCACAAAATTACGTCAACCGCAGTAATGTGCCCTACAGATGCATATTAAAATGGAAACTTAGCTCAATGGTTTTTCAAGGCCCCAAACTGTATGTATTGATGAAGTATGCTTAAGTGCAACTTCAGTTGGTGTTGACGGTAGGCTCAACTGAACTGCAGCAAAGTCTTCCGTCATGGTATTCATCAGGTGAATGCGTTGCACAGAGGCCTCTTCATGTTTTATTTCTCTCGATGTTCGAAATACCGCAGTACCATTTCTGGATAGACCAAACCTACTGGCAACGTCGGTGGATTTATACACTTATGAATGATGCGTATTCATTGACTATCTGAACAACGATAGAAGCCCAGCTCCGATATCCAGTCACCTTATCTTGGTCTGATTCTGTCGCAAAACGATGGTGACTTGAAAGAATGGGACGATAATCAGCGGAATTTCACTTTTCGCCATTTTGGTCATTGTTGGAAAGCCGCATCATGGTCGAACGGAACAACAGTCGACCGTCTACGCGCTATTCCAGTTAACCAAATTCATATTGGACTTATGGGTTGTCTCGAAGCTGAGGCAGCTTGATTTGTATGTTCCTGTTCTTGCCACCGTTGACCAGTTCTGCTCACAAGGACGTCAGTTCGTTGACGGATGCTCGATGAGCATAGCGACAGCCAAAACCCGTCTGTCGTGTTGACCCGACGGTTCATCGATAGAGAAACAAAAACATGCAAATTAGACTCCCTTAGCCGCAACACAACCCACAGCCAATAGGCGAACCTGGATGGCAGAATACCGTTTAGATGGTTGCCTGTTTCACTGATGATACCAGGTGATCGTTTATAATCTCATTGTCGTTTCGGTGTTCCTCCGACAACCGAAACGTCGAGGAGAAGGAAAGTTCCGCTCAAAATCGTCCTATTCTCTCAGAGATGCTACAGCAATCACCGTGATGTACGAAACACTCAGAGCATTCGAGTGATATTATGCCGAATTTCCGGCACTGATCATTGCCGTGGTTGTATGTCGGCTGGCATATTGCCAGGGCGCCCAGACCTGAACATGAGGAGAATTTGGGTCCTTTGAATCAAAAGTCTGACCACAAAACAGCGGGATTGGTTTGAGCGTATTCGAGTAGCCAAAATGTTGGGGATCAAATTGCCACCTTACTTGGAAGTTCAGGAAACTGTTGTTGTCAGATCTCTGTCCATCGACAAGTTTGGCGGGAGAGACCCCACGGATGATACAACAGTATCCTCTAGTATAGTTCAATGGCTTGCTGAGGTACGCAAACCGAGGTGCGCACCACGACAGGGTCCAGTCTCTTCGTGACAGTTTGATATGGATACTTCCCAAGCGATCGACCGTGGCCACACAATGGCTTCCCGAAGCCAATTAACTCAGTTCGGAAGCATTCCTACACCAAAATGTGACAATTAATCGAACCACTATGTAATTCATATATCCACCATACGAACTGAATATGGTCTGGCTTCATCAGCAAACCAATCATTAGAAATTTCACGCTGAATAGTGCAAGTGAACAGGAAAAGGCGCTTAGAACCTGTTTGGTACGATCCGCAGATTTCTGTGGTAAATGTGAACGGGCACGTTCTAGCGTCCAGAATTTAAACGTGCATGTTATCTGATGTGCCACAATCGCAGAAGCCCAAGAGTTCAGCAGTTGAATGGAGAATCTCATCAGTATGTGTTCAAAACTGGTAGGGACATATCAATGGGGAAGGAATCGTGTGTATGTTTCTGCGAATAGCCTGGTTAGAACGATAGCAGAATATCTTTGTGCGTCAATTAAGGCTGATTTTTTTAAAATTGCCATTCATTTTATCACAGTGAGCGATCTTGAGTTTCGGTAATCTGTTCGATTGGATTAGGATGAATCTGGGAATCTATTGAGGAGTCGATGAGAACGGTCATTTACAAAGTAACTTCGTAATGACCGGAGACCCGAATGAATAACAGCCAGATCTCTCGTTGAGTTTGTCATGACGAAGCCTGTAACTTGACTGTCGTGCCAAGTTTCCTTCAACTGCTGTGGCAATGACTGAGAATTCAGGTTAGATGAGCTCATAATCCCTTGGATTCGAAACCCTGCCATGATGATTAACGCCTCTTTGAAGAACAGTATGCATTATTGTAGTTATCAAGTAGCCGAAGAGAATTCCACCGAATGAAATGAACACGTGAGGTTTCACAAGATTCTAACGTTTCATTGACTAATTATGTTTCAGAAAAATGGGGTCAATTCAGGCGTAGTTCTAATGCATTTATCTCGAATGCGGAAGGCCAAATGGTCGACGTTGTTTGAGTGGGCGGTCCACAAAGTGCTCCTGATTGACGGAACTCTGCTAGTTGGAGAACAGGTGAGTTTATGAATCTGGTTGCAAAGAAATTGACGTTTTCTTCGAAGTGTTCCATTCTGGTATGATGTCATTCACTGAATTAGTTTACAATTATTGTTTAGCTGAGAAGTGTGTCCATTTGGAATATTCACGTTGCGCTTTCCCTCAGAGGATACCACCGATCAAAGTTTTCACTTCTACATATCGAAACCAGACCGGTGGGCCTCAGAGACGAGTTTATCGGGATGCCATCTAATCCGATCAGCTCACTTAGGTCAACAGGGACCGTACAATCCGTGTCGACAACACTTTGGGTGTAGAATTTATTTCACTCATGAGGTCTGATGGAAAGTGCCTGAGTGGAAAAATTCGTGCTGCCACCCTTGAATCGGACAAATATGGATGCAAACGCAACCGCAGAAGCTTCATTCTGACGTCTTCGGTATTGTATATCCATGGCAAATCTCCGCGCCTTCTACACAGGCTGATATATATAACTTTATGTATAATGCAGAAGTAGAATCACGCCAGCATCTTCAACTAAAGAGCCGCACTTGGCATGCGACAGAATTTTGGTTTATCACTGAGGATGTACGAACGTGAAGGTAGCCGATATGCTCTTGAGTAAACCTAAAGGATAACTACTCTCAGCCACTTTAAGTTTATTTCTCAATAAACGCTATGTTGATGATATTCCTACCATGTTATTCAGCCTTTACAATGTATAAAGTCTATGACCTTGCGCCTTCCCTCAGAGGAGACCACTGATCAAAGTTTTCACTTCTACATATCGAAACCAGACCGGTGGGCCTCAGAGACGAGTTTATCGGGATGCCATCTAATCCGATCAGCTCACTTAGGTCAACAGGGACCGTACAATCCGTGTCGACAACACTTTGGGTGTAGAATTTATTTCACTCATGAGGTCTGATGGAAAGTGCCTGAGTGGAAAAATTCGTGCTGCCACCCTTGAATCGGACAAATATGGATGCAAACGCAAACGGAGAAGCTTCATTCTGACGTCTTCGGTATTGTATATCCATGGCAAATCTCCGCGCCTTCTACACAGGCTGATATATATAACTTTATGTATAATGCAGAAGTAGAATCACGCCAGCATCTTCAACTAAAGAGCCGCACTTGGCATGCGACAGAATTTTGGTGTATCACAGAATTGACAGTCTTTTCATCGACGGTGAATAATCCCTACGTCCAGGGTATGGCAGTCTCAATTAGCCAACTAAATTGTGCCTTTTTGTTTAAGTTCGGGACGCAAATCCATCGTCTCTAATACTGCGACTGATGAAGTATTACGGACCTATTTATACTGCACAACGTGCACTTGCCCGCTGTTTTATTCAAATCGACCATCTCAGAGCAATAGTTAACTTCTCCTACCAACTTTTTATAGTGACGAAAAGATTTTAAAGGAATCTGCTCCATCCGAACGCCTATTTCGAACGTCTTTCTAAATATCGTCATCAGATTCTGAACTTGGTTAAATCAACCAGTTTTTTGCGAGTTTTTGTGGTTCAGTGACCGAACTATACACTAGAAGTTGTTCGTTTCAGCCTACCGCGCACTCTTCCCAGAGTACTCGAACAACTCACTAAACTCCAGCTCTGCATTCCATATCCCTGTTAATCTTTTTCCCATTCGCCAGGGTGCAAGTGAAGTCATTCTGTTCCCTTTCTCAATCCGCATGGTGGCCGGCTCAAACGCAATTAGGACGCCGTGAGTCAGTTCGACGTCTGAATCAAAAGCGCCACAGTGGTAGATCGACTTACTGATGTTTCGCCTAAGCATACTGTGGATTTTTCGAAGCCAAGCATGGGAACATCGGATAGTGTTGGAATATGGTAAAGAGTTACGGACTACCGGCACAAATATCCCAGATTGAGGGTTGCCAGATAGCTAGGTGGAACTACAGATGGGAATTGCACACCGTGGCTTAATCGATTTATTCAGGCCGACAGCCACTACTGATCTCCGCTCAATAAATGACAAGCAGACAATATGGAACATTTCTAAAGTCAGAACACAGCGACGTTTCGGTTCCCCGGGATAACCACCTAGCATCATTTGGATTCACTGTCATGTCTGCTGCGTGTAGTAGGCACAGGTGCCAGATACAAACAGGCATCTTAACAAAGGCACATCACGGTCAGTACAGCAACAAACACAGGCACATCCTAATCAATGTATACGCGATCGCCAGTACGCGCGCACAGAACCAACACGCCCACACACGCTGGTCGCATCCGAGTACCAACTAATCACAGGAACGCACCAACCAGAAGACAGGATAGTGGACCCAAATGACGCTATATTTGACTCCTATTCAATTGTAGATATCTTCGAGAGGCAACCGAAACGCCGGATTACAGCATTTTATTGCACCACGCAGTGTTCTGACTTTAAAAGATTCCACACTGAACATCATATGACGCTCAATCTTTCTAACATTGTCCGAGCCAAATTTGGTACGGAACTCCTGAACAGACAATACTTATTGGGTGGGTACGTGTCAGAAATATCGGGTGCATTTAATTAGACACTAAAATGGCAAAAGCGATTGGTTGAAATGGAGGGTGGTTGTAGAGAAAGAGATCGGTTACTGTTTTCGAATCATTCATTTAGATATGATTTAAATAGAACGTGTGTTTAAAGGAGGAAGTTATTCGATTTGCAATTTACCTTTGATGGTACCAGAGCCACAGTCAGATGAGGGATAAATAGACTAAAAATAAACAACGATCAGCTCCCCGTTTGTAAGCCATCCTCACAGACGTTGTCGGATGAATGGCAGAGACAACTACCAACGGGTGCCCGGTACTTGAGAACAATATCAACCCCTTTGCAATCTGTCGCGACGCTCACTCAACAGTTAGCTCAACGGCCGTGCTTTGAGCTCGAATACTTTTCTCCATTTTGGATGCAAACGAAATTAGCTTGCTATCCGGAGTATATTTCAGAGCAAACATTGAAGGTAACAGGATGAACCGAGCGTCGAGGTTCCACTGGTGACTTCGAGGCGATGCGGGTGTCGGCGTAGACAGATACTATATACCTATGTGCTTTCGAACTCTGTCGAATATATCTTGAGGAACAGCGTATGTAAGATCCGGGCGGTTATGGACCTCACAGGACGATTGCGGCTATTAGGTTAGACGCGGTTTGTAGCCAGTAGTCAAAAGAAGCAGACAGACGTGGGCAGCAGATGATGTATTGAGGACTGACAGGATCTGATTAATCAGTAATGACGCAATCAGCAGGAGCGGAAAACAGTCACTGACGCAACAAGGATTTATATAGGGACAGCCTGATAGTGTGGATTGGCCGTATAGAGGATAACAGCGCAAAAATCAGTACGTTTGGGATGTGAGGGACTGTCTTTCGGTTGACAGTGCGACGCGGCAGGTCGTGTCACGTGGCAAGTCAGATTGCGCGGTTTCGTCCGTTTAAAACAAATCTCGCCAAAGGCTATCTGGCAGGTGCGGTACATAGGTAATACAAAATAATTTACCCTTCAGGGCGTCAGTCGAGTATAGCGGATGACTCGTTCGCCTACCGTCCGGGAGTCCTGGCTTCGATACCCGGTCGGTCCCCTCTTCCGTCGTAGTGGATGCTCTAAAATAGGTACAATAGAGTCGAACTTGCAAGCACTGGTGGACTGAGGAGTAAGCAGACCTCGAGTAGGGACGAAACAGGGGGAAACGGGCAGATGGTGGACTGAGGACTGAGGAGTAAGCAGACCTTGAGTAGGGACGAAACAGGGGGGAACGGGCAGCGAGGAAACAAGACGGCGTCACAATAAACAGGTGTAAGTCACGTCACTCATGAGAAGTCAGATAACGGGGAAAATTACTACTGGTCGCCGTTGATTCGCAGGAGGAATCAATACCGTAGAATGAACAAACAGCTGATTCTTTCACAGGTTGCTCTCTTTACAGTGAACTGTTTAATCCATAGATTTGCGGGAACAGTGGATAGCTGCACGCTACGGCGCTTCATCCGTCACTCGAACGGCTGTTTGAAACACCTGGAAAGAAACATTATTTCACTTTTTTTCGTTTCCGTTCAATCTTTCCACAAGAGAACGCTCTGCGGGAGGACTTCCCGCATTTGGATGGACCTGTGGTTAACTTGCCAGTAATATATACATCCTTATGAATCGGGACAGTAGATTTGGGCACTGGTCCGTAGTAGACGATTCGGCCTATCCGCTTTCCTTTTCAGTTCTCGAACACTATTCGACCCGCATTCAAATGACGGTTGGCTTACATCTGGCTACTATCCACCTAACCAAATTTAACCTCAGTGTGGTATTGGATAACTGAACCTGTGCTTCTAAGCTTTGTTGGACTAGTTCAACACTTAAACATGACGGAACCATTTGCATCTACAACGTTTGAACTAACCGTAGTTTCCTCTGTCATTCACATATGTTTTCATGGAAAGTCAGCATTGAATGTTCTTATTCAGAGGCGACCAGAATTATACTACCGTATTCCGTGCGAATGGAACCTACAGCTCTTCCCTGAAGCTGCACAGATTTTCTGCCCCGTAATATGGACAGACAGACTCTCTGAGGAGGCCATTTGCTCAGAGTACGAATCGCCAAAACATGGCGACCTCGCTCATCCGGGCATACCGAATTTGGTACACTGCAACTTCTCACCTGGAAAACCGGAGAGTGGCGGTAATGCACCCTCGTCATTTCGAGCTTCGTTGAATGCATCGAAGGCACAGACAAGTAAGGCATTGCGTTGTTCAGATCAATAGCGTTCCTCAAGTGTTCTACTTTTCCAGATTAATCGGATGATCGTTTCCGTAAGACATGATTTCATGGTTAAAAATACACGTGCGGACATATGATTTTGTTCACATTAGGGATTTCTTGGGCGTCCAAACCCGGTCATGAGAGGAATGCGGGGGTGGAAACTTCCATGGTAGTTTGGACATCTCAACTTTTCGTAATCTGCATGCAAAATATTCTATCGCTGAAGAAGTGAACACAAAGTTGTCAGCAGTACAATGTCTTGTTTAATAGGATTCTCCTGATCAACACAGTTTTACGAGACAGAGGGAAAACCGTTTCATGAATGGTTGTTCTATTCGATACCCGAGTTAATTATTGCTGGACGACAAGCTTCAATGAAAACTCTAACCTCTCACACTACCATCCACGTATAAGTAGCTCAGAGGAAGATTAAATTCACACGGCGAATGAAACTTCCGTCTCGGAAGTTGTTACATAAAGAGCCAGTCACGTGGATTCCGTGATTAAAGGATAAGTGGCACTGTGCCTTGCCCTACTGTTGATGCGTATCATTTGGCGTAGTACTGCGAAGCACAAGTAGGGCATAAGATGTTTCATCAGTCGACCGAGTGTTGATTGCGGAGTGTGCAAAACAGTGAAGTTCTTGTGCCTTCTCAATACTCCGGTTGGATCGTCCCTATTTTACTAGTTGTGAATTAGTTGGATCCGCGGGTAACTGTGATGAGTATGTAATTTTATAATAAACAGAATGGTACAACTTGATCGCTGTCCACCGCACAGAAATTTGTACA